TATTCCTTTGTTATAGGCTATAGAGGTACTGGAGATCACAGTAATGTCGGTGGTTTATCCAGGCTTCCCCTTTCTGACGTTAATACCTCTGATGTTCCTGATGTGGCTAGCATGTTTAATGTAGTACAAATGTCAGCTCTGCCTCTAACCCACAAACAACTCAGGTCAGCTTCTAGGTGTGACCCTGTGGTTAGTAAGGTGTTGATGTTTGTCCAGTGTGGTTGGCCACAATGCACACCTCAGGAGTTAAGGGACTACTGGAGGAGGAGACATCAACTAATAGTGGAAGCAGGTTGTTTGTTGTGGGGGATGAAAGTGGTGGTTCCCACTGTGCATAGAAAGAAGGTACTGGAGATGCTTCACGAGGGCACCCTGGTATAGTCAAGATGAAATCACTGGCTAGAAGTTGTCTTATGGCCAGGGTTGGACCAGGATGTGGAGAATGTGGCCAGGAGTTGTGCTCTCTGTATTCAAATTAAATCAAATCCTGGACCTGTTCCATTGCACCCATGGATATGGCCAAGAAGCCCGTGGAAGAGAATCCATGTGGATTTTGCAGGACCATTATTTCATAAGTCCTTCTGTAGTAGTAGTAGATCCCATTCAAAGTGGCCAGAAGTGTGAAAGATGTTATCTACTTTGTTGTCAAAGACAGTAGAGGTACTGAAGCATCTATTCAGTATGTATGTGCTGCTGGAGCAGCTAGTAAGTGATAACGGTCCTCAATTCCCATCTGACGAGTTTCACCAGTTTATCAAAAGCTCTGGAATCAAACATTATTGTTCGGCTACTTACCATCCAGCCACAAAAGGAGCTGCAGAGAAATTTGTACAAATGTTGAAACAAGCTCTGAAGACAGAAAAACAAGCAGGGAAGCCAACTAAAGAGGTACTTTTCCAGTTCCTGATGAGCTGTTTTTTTCTAACCATGCAGTTACTGGTGTTCCTTCAAGTCAGCTGTTCTTGGCAAGGCAGATCAGGACTAAACTAGATTTGCTGAGGCCAAGTCAACAGGATGTTGTGGAAACCCAGTAAGCCAAACAGAAACAATATCATGATAAAGCGAGAAAGCAGAATTATTTTCAAGTTGAAGATTGAGTAGCTGTCAGAATATATAGACATGATTATTACATTGAAAGAATGGAGAGGTAGCGCAGATTTTAGGTCCCAGATTATTATTAGTTAAGTTGGATGATGGCTCAATGGTTAAGAAGCATATAGACCAAGTGCAGCATAGAATAGTAACATCAAAAGAAGTAACTGAAGATCTCCTTCAGGACCTTGACCTTCCATTACCAACCGCTCAACAAGAGGAAGAACCTTTACTTACAACATCAGCTGTGGATGAAGGAGTACAAAATTCCACCAACACTACACCTGTGGTGCCCCAGCAAAGGTATCCTCTAAGAGACAGACGTCCACCTGATCGTTTTGTCTGTTTTTAAGAAGGGGGAAAACTTTGAGATATTATTAACTACAATAATAAGGTGTACATGTATTTATTATTATCACTATCATTGTTATTATTAGGTGGTTGTGTTGCTAGGTAACTATTATTATCCTAGTGTGGTATTTCCTCTAAACATTGATTGGGTTTTATTATTTTTTTGAATTATTATTGC